GTACTAGAATAAAAACAGACCTGAAGATCAGTGGAATACATTAGCAGATATAACCTCAATTACAAACACCTCATCTTTGACAAAGGGGCCAAACGTGTTCACTGGAAAAAAAAAGCCTCTTGTAGTGCTGGATAAACTGGCTTTTCCATATGCTGAAAATTAAAACTAGACCCATGTCTATTATCATACACTAAATTAAAGTCAAAATGGATCAAAGATCTAAATAGTAAAACAGAAGCACTAAATCTTCAGGAAGACAAAGTAAATAGAAATCTTGAAGACGTAGGGGTAGGCAGAGAGTTTATGAACAAAAATTATACTGCAAGGGAAATACTTCCCAGAATAACTAACTGTGATCTCATCATATTAAAAAGTTTCTGCATGTCAAAAGAAATCTCCAATAGAGTGGAAAGAAAACCCATGAACTGGAAAAATATCTTAGCCAACTCTCCCTCAGACAAAGGACTCAGCTGATGGGCAGGAATGAATTTAAAAAAAGATGTATTTTTATACAACGGAGTACTGCTCAGCTATAAAGAAGGATCACAGTAAGGCTTTTACGGGTAAAGAGATGCAACTTGAGACCATACTCTTAAGTGAAATAAATCAAAATCACATGTGTAAATGATGTATTGTCACCTCAGTGTAAGAAACTAAAAGAGTAAAGAAGATCTAAAGTCTTTAACAAATATTGTGAAAGGGTAAGAAACTGCTCAAAGCAGAAAAAATTACTCAGGGAAAAGGAAAAAGACATAAACTTGCATATATATATATATATATATATATATATATATATACACGTAAGATAGCTAAGTTGACTATACTACTAATGGTAGTAGTTCTTAAGAAAAGAACAGTTAATAGTCATATGATTAGAGCAATTTTACAAGTCTATATCTGTTAATTTAAGTAACCTTTTTGAAGGAAACTGCAATGTAACAACCATTGTTAAATTCCTATCATCTTGTTTTGAAAACCTACACTGTTACTGTTTTGGGTTTGTTGTTATCATTGTCTATTTTGCTTTTTGCTTTTCTTTTGTGTCTCTTTTTCTCTTAAATAAAAAAAGAAGTAGGCAAAAGCAATGAATAACAACTTCATAGATCAAATATTAAAGAGCAATAAATACATAAAAAGATTTTTTTAAATGTTCAGTTTTAGCAATGAGGAAATGTTAACAGTATAATTTAAAACTACTTCATGTTCAGTAATTGGTAAAACTTAAAAATATCTGTTTCTACCAAAAATTGAAAACGGACATTATATTATTTTGGAAGTATAATCTAGTAAAACTACTTTATAAAAGCTTATAGCATTGCCTAAAGCTAAGGGTGTAGGGTTACATCACCCAGTAATTCTATGAAGTTCACTTCTATGAACTTTATCAAAAGACATACACTTGAATGTCTGTGACTATACTGCTTATAGTAGCCAGAGGTCAGGAGCAGGGAGACAACGTAAATATCAATAGTAGAATACATTATAGTACACTCACTTATCAGAATATTGCAATTATACAAATGAAGCATAATTACAAGTATGTACCAACATGTCTAAATCATAAAACCTTAAATGCTGAATAAAAAGCAAGTCAAAGGAAATTACATTCAAGAGTCCGTTTATGTAAAATTAAGACATCTTTAACAAATATATACATAATTCCAATCTCTAAAATAAATCAAATTTATACAAAAAAAATAGTCTTTCAATAGTACAGTCAAAGAGACAAGATAGAATGTTTTCAAATTGTTGAGATCCAACATAATTTATGAGGAAACATTAATGTTTAATTGTAAGGACATCACCTGGCTCACAGAGAAAAAAATGTTACATTTCAAGATATTTTAAATTATTTTTTAAAAATTATATGAGAATTTTTTTCTGATACTTGGAAATGAACCCAGGGCCTTTCCATTGAGCTACATTCCCAGACCTCTTTTTATTTTGAGACAGTGTCTTGCCAAATTAAAAACTGCTCAGGCTAGGCTCAACCTTGAGGTTTTCCTGCCTTTGCATGCATGGGGGATGGGATTACAGGCATGCAAACCACCACACCCAGCTGAGAATTACTTTAATTTACGCCCTTTCTTTCATAAATGAACATATTTTTGTTCTTTAAGAGACCACTTCCAACTTACTGGATTGTTCATGACCACAAGCTCATGATCAAATGAATACAAAGTGATACTGACTGAAAACTAAACATTCTCAAAGACATGAAAAAATAAATAGAAGTACACATTGAACAGTCCCAATCTGAAAATCATAAATGCTTCCAAATTCAAAGCTTTTTAGCACTGGTATGATGCCACTAATGAAAAATTCCTCATATTACCTCATGTAATAGTCATAGTTAAAATGCAAGTGCACTAAAAATATCATATAATGTTACCTTTCACCCATGTGTAAACACTGTATAAAACATAAATGAATTTTCTGTTTATATTTGAGACTCACAAGTAAGAGATTTCCTTATATATACACAAGTAAAAAAATACTTGAACTCTGAAACATTATTCAGCCTAAATAGAACCAATGAAAAGTGATTTATCTATAAGCATCACCAAAGCTCAGTTACAGTTGGCAAAGCAGAGATATTTTCTAACTTAACAGACAATGTCTAAGAAGAGATTTTAATGAATGTATTTCAGTAGACAAAACAGTACTACAGTTGAAGACCAACAAAAACAGTTTTAAGATTAATACTTTAATAACACAATAAAGGCTAAGGAGACACAATATATCCAGAATAATCCACTCTGTGCTATTTATTCCATATTTTCTAGGAATATATCTTTCTACATAAGGTAACATAAAATAGATTGCAAAAAACTAAAAAAAAAAAAAAATGCTAACATTTACTTTTCCAAATGATATGTCTGGTATAATGCATAAGTCTGCTGGGTTCAACCATAAATTATTAATTTATCACTGTGCTGTCCATCAGTACTAGGAAAAAGGAAATAGGTATTTTGATTCATGTTAAGAGAAACCAAGGAACCAGGTGTGGTGGTACATCCCTGTAATTCTAGCACTCTGGGAGCCTGAGACATGAATGTAAGTTCAAGTTCAACTTCAACTTATAAAATTAGACCCTGTCTCAAAAAGGACTGGAATGCAGCCGAGTGTGAAAATCTAGAGTTACACTGGAAAGACAGGGAGAAAGGGGGAATTCTTAATAAAGACAAACAATTGGAATCTATTAAGATCAATTGGAAAATATTAATTTCATACTTTATGAATCTCAGATTACAAATAAATAACCCTTCCATAATTTTTTTAATAGGGGAAAATGTTTATTCTATCTCCAGGTGGGCTGTTTTTAGCCTATAAAAATAAGATGAAATGTCCCAACATTTCATTTAAATTCTAAATACCTTAGGTTAATTCTCAGGAAAACATTTTCAATTAAAATTTTGAATATTTTAAACTAAAATGTTTTATTTTTTTATATACTTTTTTTTTTTTAATTGGTACTGGGGATCGAACTCACGACCACCTGCTTGCAAGGTGGGTGCTTATGCCACTGAGCTAAATCCCCAGCCCCAACTAAAATGTTTTAGAAAATATGTTAGATACATATTTTAAATTATTCCCTTCTTTATACATTATATAAAAACTATTTTTAAAAAAATTACAGAAAAACCATACACAAGATTCAGGGTATTCATATAATTACTTAATTTATGAGACTGTAAAAGAAAGCCTAATACCATTTTCATCATTTTTTCCAGTATTACCAGTTTTCTTTCTAATCTTACTGAAACTTTTCTAATAATCCTCCCATTATAGAAGAAAACTCAAATATCTGAGAGCACACTCAGTGGTACAGCACCTGTACATCATTGTAGAAGGCCCTAGGTTTGATCCTAAAGGGAAGAAGGGAGACAAGAGTGACGATTAAAATGGACAGTCAACTTTCTTGATTTAAGAGCCTTCTGAGCATGTGTAACTAGGTCACTTGGGTACTAAATATGGTCCCTGGCTCTTTCCTCTCTTTCACTCTTCCCCTTCTCTTCTTCCGGACTACCAATAACTAGTAGCTTTCCTCTACCATATTGTTTCTGCTGTGAAGCCAACCATTCACTGACTGAATCTTTTGAAATTGTGAGCCAAATTAAATCTCTCCACTAAGTTTGTGGGTATGCTCATTGTGTCTAGGCACAGGAAAGCTAATTAATACACGAGGAAAGAAAGAGAATGCAAATAGAACATTTTGATAGTCAATGAAGAAGAAAACTAAAATACCTGAAAGTATATAAAGTAAAGCTTGAGTGATACTCATTACACAGCACAGAAAATACCTTTATACTACAGAAAAATAAACTCTTTTAAATGCTTTGACATTACAGAAAATTATACAAATTTCAGTATTTATATAAATTGAGTATAACTTTCATCATAAACTGAGCAAAAATGAAACTACTCAGAGGAACACGTATTTCTGATTTACAATAATTACACTAATTAAATATAGCTAATTTTTACTATTATGTTTCCCTCCTATAATCATGTCATATGCCAATGCTACCCTATCTACTGAATTAAAAGCTAAATTGGGGTATGTGTTCTAAGATTTTATCCTATTATTAAGTGCACTCTTAAGTGGCCAAGGATATAGCTAAGTGGCATGGTGCCAGCCTGGCAAGTGCAAGGTCATGAATTTGATTCCTGGTACCCAAAGAAAGTCCTCTTTAAAGAAAGGGAGAATTACTATACTAAATAATTTCAAATATTTCCTCTACACAAAGAAACCGGTAATTCATATAATGTGTTTATAATTATAATACAAAGGAAAAACACAATAGTTCCCCTATTAATGTTAGAATGATGGCCATATACTAGAATCTTGCTCAATTTGATACTCAAAGAACTATTTTCTATCAAGTATAGCTGCATTCTTGAAAAACTGAACAGTACAAAAAATGATATTTAAAGAGCTCTGACCTCTAGGTACTGAGTGTTAGAACTATATCTTTAATTAGAAAAAATTCACTCACCTTTCAAACCTAGAGTTTGTAGCTGGAAGAGCCGACCAAGTTCATAAGGCAAAACCCGTAACATATTGTGATTTAAAAGCAATTCCCTGTTTAAAAAAAAAAAAAAAAAAACTTTTAATATATCAAAAGCTTTATTAATGTATGTATTTGCCATTTTAACTCTTTCTTCTAATATCAGTGATGGTTATGTTTAAATGATTTCTTTATGCTGATTCAAAACTGTCGTATACTATATACTTAAGATACTATATAAGTATATAATTAAGATACTATAAAACTGTATTATAGTGTTAAGGTACTAGAGAATGTATAATTGCCACAATTTTTAACAATGTTTCTATAATTTACTTATCGTCCAGCACAGATTAAAGTTAGAGGAAGAAGTACACACATCATTTTCACTCAAAATCCACCCTCTTTGCTCTCTTACACAGAATTTTATTAGATGAAACTCAAAGTGATTTATTAGAATCCAAAGACAATAAGCAAACTTGAGCCTAATTTAATTTATGGAAAACAGTAAATTTTTACATAAACTTTAAGATTAAACTATGGTGTAATTAGCCCAATCATCTGCATCTTTAACTAATTATAACACTAGTCATTTCAAAATAGTATGAAAACAGAAAATATACAAAAATGAAATTAATAAAGAACAAGCAGTGAGTTGGGTATGGTGGCCCATGGCTTTAACTGCAGCACTTGGGAGGGTGAGGCAGAAGAAAGAACTTCAAGACCAGCCTGGACTACAAATACCTTGTCTCAAAAAAAAAAAAAAAAAAAGACTGGGCATGGTGGCACACATCTGCAATCTTAACACCAAACAACATCAGATACTCTGGGAGGCTAAGGTAGGAGAACCACGAGTTCAAATTCAGCATGGGCAACTTAGTGACCTAGCAAGATCCTGTCTCAAAATAAAAAAAAGCTGGAAATATAGCTCATTACTGAAAGTCCTGGGTTCAATCCTCTGTACTGAGAAGGCAGGAAGATAGGAGAGATACAAATGAGAAGAGACAGGAGGAAAGAAAAGGGAGAAAAGGTGGGAGCAGGCAGGAATAGAAGGAGAAAAGGCAGGAAGAAGAGAGGGCAAGAGAAAGTGCATCAGGAAAGTATAATACAATAGGGAACATGAGGGGCTGGGATTTAGCTCAACTACGTAAAAGTCTGCCTAGCAAGTGCAAGGTCATCAGTTCGATTCCCAGTACCAAAAAAAAAAAAGTGAACATGAAAAGACAAAAGAATTCTCATCAACAATCAGACACAGAACATAAATATTAAAGCACCAAAAAAATAAGAAAAGGATAGCATAAGTAAGGTCTAAGTTTATGATTGTAGAAATTCTGAGAAGACAACAGAAAAAATAAAGACCACTTCCATTAACAGATGATCAAAAAGTTCTAAAACAAGCCAATAAAGGGATGTAAAGTTTATTTACTGCTTAACAGATAATGCAGAAAGAAACTTCCTATTTTCATTGGAAACACATTTTGTCTTAAGATTCCTAAAATATTTTACACCGTGAAGTTTTTTTAAATCTTGAAATAGAAACAAATCCATTTTATCAGGTTTTAAAGTTTTCTTAATGAATAGTAAAATAAAATATAAATATACATTGCTTTATAATAGGATATATTCCTATAAATCTGGATTACAAGCAGATCATATTTTCCCAATTACTTCTGATTAGTCCTATCAGAGCTGAAGCCAAAAATGAGACTCTAAATATTACTCCACCTCCAATCTGTCAAACCTGATGATAGGAATCTCCAAAATTAACGGAAATACTCTATGGAGACCAACTCAAGAATTGTGCTTACAGAGTTTACAACATTTGATTGTCACAGACACAGAAATCCTGCTCTAAAAACAGTAACATCCCGTAATTTTCTTATTTGGTAAATTTAGAATTTTATGTAATGAGTCATGTCTGAAATATTTCCTCACCTGAGAGACACCATGTTTCCTAGTTCTGCTGGTAAACTTCTGAGTTTATTGGATGACAGATCCAGGTAAACCAGATTATGAAGCTTGGCAATATCAGGCGGGATGCGACTAAGGTAATTGTCATTTAGGTGCAGCGCTGTTAAGTGTGTCAAAGACCAAAGTGATGTACTTAAGCTCCGCACTCTACCTAAAAGGCAAAATATTAAAGCATAAAAACCTAGCCCCGCAACAAAAACTGACCTGCAAGACTAAAATGTAGAAGCAGCCAGGGTGGTAGCATACACCTGTAATCCTAGCACTCAAGAGGCTAAGGCAGGAGGATCAGTGCAAGTTCAAGGCCAGCCTGAACTACATAATAAGACCCTGTCTCCAAAAAAAGTAAATAAAAATAAAAATATAGAATAAACTGCAACTAAAGCAATATTGTGTCTCTAACATTTTAATTTTGTACTTAGAGCCATATGATTGCTTCCACACACATCTGGTCCTGACTTTATTTCACAATACTTTGGCCTAATAACCACTCTTTCTTGTGGGCCCTCTATGTATTAAATGAGTTTTGACAAGCCAGGTGTAATCACAGAACTCAGGAGGCTGAGGCAGGAGGACTGCCATGAGCTAGAGGCCAGCCTGGGCTACACAGGGAGTTCAAGGCCAGCCTGAACTACTTAACAAGACCCTGTATTTAAAAAAAAAAGAATGAATGAATGAATGGTGGTAAAATATAGACTCTTAAGAGTCATACATGATGGGGCTGTATTAAGCCTTTGTGGAAGAATGGTCTTGATTTTATTTTTTAAGTCATACTCCTTACAAAATTATTAGTGCAAAGTTTATTTATATTCAGGACCTAGGTTAAAGACCTTAAATAGACAAGAATAATTACTATGACTTAGAACTAACTTTAGATTAGCCATCAGGAAAACCACTGTATCCTCAGAGACATTTTTCCTCTGCTTTAAAGAATTAATTAAAGACTAAAAATTTTGGTTTAAGATTTTTTTTTTTTTTGGTCTTTTTCCTTTTTATCGGTACCAGGGATCGAACTCACGACTGCCTGCTTGCAAGGCAGGCGCTTATGCCGCTGAGCTAAATCCCCAGCCCCTGGTTTAAGATTTTGCATTAAATGCAACATATTCAAATAAGCAACCACAAAGCAAGTTGTGATATCCGAGGCAGAAGTTGCACTAAATCAAAAGACCTGTGTCAAGAGTCATGATTTTTATCACTGATTAGCTACATAAGTTTAAGCAAATCATCTAGTCTCAGCTTTCACAAAATGGGATGTTATCTATCTTACATACAATATTAATTATACAAAATACTTACATAAAGGTCATTTCATAAATTTTACAAAAGTGGTGTTTTAATTTTATAACAGATTTTGATAAGAATAATAAAAGGTAGAGAACACAAAATCTCAAAAAGGAAATGTTACTTTTCATATAGCTACTGAGGATTAAATTCAATTTTCTTTTTTCTAATAACAGATTTAAAAAGATAAATATTTATATCTCAGGATCTTTGTTTTCATTTAGTCCATCCAATTAAAAACTTACAAAAATATACTCTTGTTCATTCTCATTACATCCCAAATCAAATGCTTTAGATTCCACTCACCCGAGATTTCTAATTCTGCCCAGTGAGACTTTTTCCCATTGGCTACCTCCTCTGCTGACATGATGGTATAAATTCTGCGAGGATCTGGAGGATCATATTTTTCCTTTGGCATCCCTATTAGTCTGTGGAGAAAAAAAAAGACCAACTTATTATAATCTTAGAGAAAGAAAGAGAAAATGAGACAATTTTCTTTTTTATTACCAGACAGCAAGTCATTTTGTGCCACAAACTGTCTCTTGAAAACACATCATCTGCAGTATAATAAGTTTTTAAAGAAATTAACAGGTAGCTAAAGGAAAATGAAAAAAACAAACAAACCAGTGACCCTACACTTTGTAGTACACACTAGGACTACTTTCCCCTGCATTTAGTTAACATTGTTTTTCCTGATAGACTGATCTTACAATGAGTTTCTTGGTGGACTCTCAAACTAGTCTAAGAGATTCAGGTTTTTCTATCTTCCTTCCCTCTGTAATACGCAAACATCCTAATCAACATAACATTCCCTTTGACAGAGATTAATTCAAAGGTATCTAAAAATCACAAGACCTCAAAACTCCTCCATGTTTACTGGAGAAGCAGGCTTCTCCCTGCTGATCATAAATGAAAAAGAATATAGCCCAGATTACTGTAGGCAGCCATGCAACAACTATAAAGGAAGCATGCCAGAAAAAGCAGTCTAAAAAACAAGAGAAAACTAGAGACCTCAATGAATCACATCTGTAGCACTTTCAACCAAGCCACGTACAGTATTTTCCCTTACTAAGGTAATTTGAGTTGTGTGTTTTCTGTTACCTGCCTCAAAACTATCTTAATTAGAATGACTGCATAAATTCTTTGTCATGCTTGACTTACATCTATTGTCCTGAGGTAACTGTTAATATCCCTGCTTTTTACTCTCCAGACTGAGTAAGTCACATGGTCATCGCACTAATCAAAACTAATACTATGTAGTCTTTCTTAAAATGTAATCATCAATGATGACCAACTGAGACTTAAAACTAACCAAATGTGCCATGCATGCAGATGACAAATGGCCCCAAAAATAACCTCATTCAAGTGGTACAAAATAAGTATTACTTTGATAGTTCTGATTTACAAAAAATGATGGGTTTTACCCTACCTGGATTCCTACATACTATTTATAAATTGCCACACAGTGCTATAGTTAGCTCTTTGCTAATATTTTAACAAACACACACATCCCAAAACAAAAGTCTGAATTTGCAAGTTATTTCCTAAAGTTTAGAATTCATACAGGATTCGGCAGTAGTGAACCTATGGCACATGCTGCAGCAGGCTGTCTGTACCTTTAAAAGCTCTAAAAGGTTTACTACCACTGAATAAATGGTCTGAATATTTTTTTACCTATATAGAATATGAGTAGTTCATCATATACTAAGAAATCAAACTAGTTCCTAAGCACATAATCAAATTTTCCCATGCCATAATCTTCCCTCATATTTTGAAGCAAAATTAATCATTTCTATCCTTTTATTTAAAAGAGAGAAAGTGAAAGTTTTCTAGGTATGTTCATCTTATAATAATAATTAATTTCAAACTTTCCATATTAAGCTGCTCAATTTTATTCTTACACAGTTTGGGTAATACTATATTTTTCTTTTTATGTCTTATAAATTCATAGAGTACAAAGAATGTGATCATTTGTCACAGGGGGAAAACTTGGTTTCTGCCATTCAACCTATGTAAAGTATTTCTCAAAATAAAACAAATAGTAATCAGATTTTTAGACTTTTTAATTGTATACTGTAAGGGGCATAAATCTCTGTGGGTATTTTTACACACTACGATTATATCAAGATTAAAGGTGAATCACAGTGCTGTTCTGGACCCAAAGATACTCTAAATCCATTACCTACAGTAAGAATAAATTAAAAACGTAACTATTAAATTTGCAACTACATAAGTTTCAAAAATTTTTGAATGTTTTTAAAATACTAGGGCATAGGATTAGAAAATCAAACTAATTTAACTATGTTACTTATGGTTCCCACTAAATAAGTTTATGAATCATGAAGGAACTGTGTTATTCCTGAGGGAAGATGTTCTCTTTATATGACAATACAGCTCCTGTCACACAGGAACACACTATGTATTTGTAAAAAGATCATATGCTTTGCATTCCTAAAATCCACTACTTTCCTCCTACTTTTTCCATCTCACAGCCAATTAACAACCAATGCTTTTCTAACATTAATCTGAAGAAACTAATCCACAAGCTCAACCTTCTCAAATATTGTAAACATTTGGATAGGAGATTAACATCTTTTCTAACACTCTAACTCTATTCTCTGAAAAAGCTGCTTTACGAAACTGTCATCTTTTAAAACTTGCCATTTTTTCCATTGTTATAAATTGATTAAAATTTGTAAAATCACTGCTTTAAAAAACAGTTCCACAAAATTTTTACCAATAGCTACATTACAAAAACAAAGTAATATTCATACTGACATACTATGAGTCAAAAAACTCTTGTGTTTATTAGGATGCAACAAAAATACAAGACATTTAATTCTTCTTAAGGATTTCATATTTGAATAATGTGACTGAAGCTAAAACACTTTTCATTTGGGTTAATTAAAAACTTTATTACAAGGGCTGAGGATTTAGCTCAGTGGCATAAGCGCCTGCTTTGCAAGCACAAGGTTGTGAGTTCAATCCCCAGTACCAAAAAAAAAAAAAAAAAAAAAAAACAGTTTATTAGAGGCTATACTTCTGATGATTGCTACTGACAAACACCAAGTATGCTACTAAAAATGTAGAGAACTCAAATACAGGAAATTAGCATTATTAAATCCTTCTGCTCATCTCTATTTTCCCCTCTCAGGTCCTCAACATCAATATGCCACTTGGTAGTATATCTCAAATACCTATTTCAAAATAATTTAAAATATAAAATAACCATTCAAATATAAATCTCAAAATGTTACACTGATAATACAGTATCTAATAAGCTCACATACAAGCCAGTACTGCACAAGGTTTACAGTGGAGTGATGATGACTGCTTCTTGGCCTTTTGGCGAAGACTAAGTGTAAAATGGAAGTAATGAATACCTTTCATCCAAGAAACAGAAATGCTTTATTTTAGAAAACCTAGCAGCAAATTCCCTTCTTTATCTTTTCAATTTATAAGGCAAGTTTTCGTGGTGCTGAGGATCACTGTTAGTTTTTGAGACAAGTTTTTGGATTCGTTTTTTCCAAGAGTTTCTAATTTCTTTTTTCTTTTTTTGCGTGGGGGGGTAGTGCTGACATAGGGTTTCACTACATAGTTCAGAATGACCTTGAACTCACTATGTAGCCCAAGGCAATCCTCCTGCCTTAGACTCTCAAGTGTTGAGATGACAGGCCTATACTATACCATTATGCCCAGCAAACTTCAGGTTTTATATTTGGGGCAAGGAAAATAAAGAATAACACATCTCTCCTTCAAAAGATCCGAGTAAAACTGTTAAAAAGCTAGAACTAAATTTCTGTGTATTTTGGTCACCTAAAATAGCTTATTTAAAAGCTATTAAAAAGGTAGCCTCTACAGTGTATGTAAACACATCTTTATTTTGCTAAACCACAGTTACTTTCTCATCACTCTAAATTTAAGGGCATTTCATCTCAGTCTGTAATTCAGCACTATTAATGCTATTTCATTTACTTTTAGCTTGTTTAATCAAGCAAAGTAACAGTGAAGTGCAACATTAATACTTATTTTTAACTATTAATCATTAATACTTACTTTTAACTATACATAACTATTAATCATTATAATAGGCAAACAAAATTTATACCTAAAAAGGTACCTTACCAATACATTTAGCATTGACTCACCAGTTAATAACAAACAAAAAAAAGATTAGCAAACCACACTGCATACTGCAAAATCCTATTGACAAAATTAATGACTGACAGGAAGCAGGAGCTTAAAGGACATTTCTGAGATAAATAATAATTTGATTAGTAATTCCATTTCACTTCCATACCAAAGGCCTCTAGACAGCATTGGTCTCTATATATGCAACTAAAATTCATATATGACAAATAATGCAAATATCAAAGAAAAAAACTTCAAGTTTTCCTGACATCTCCAATCTGTGACCACTCTAAATAAAAACAAAACCTTTTTATGATGGCAAAATTGCTTAAAACAAACACCTTTAGATTTTTAGATTGTCATGTTTCTGGCTAATTTAACATTTATTCAGGAAATAGTCATTGCTTCCCTTCTACTGTCAATGATTCTACCAAGCTCTAGTTCTTTCATAGTGAACACAATGGAAACTGCATATGCCTCATGGAGCATATGCTATCTTCAAGCCTCTACTTTAAAAAAGAAAGTTTCAGAATATTTTACATTTAAATCTTATTTAAAAAACTGTGAAATTCCTTGTTATTATTATTTTTCCATTTCATCAAATAATTAATTCCATTGGCTTTTATCAGTGTGGGAAACCTATGGCACATGTCTGTTATCTTTGAAAGATCTAAAATGTTCGCCATCATGACTGGTCTATATTATTGATACAGTAAATTGAACAGAACTAAAAGAAAAAATTCCTGTCAAAGGAAGACAGTGATGCATAACAGATAATTTGTTGAACGATCAAGTATAGGTAGAGTGTTTCCAGGTAAACAAGTTTTGATTCCTCTATTAGGGAACAGTACTAAAATAACAGGTCAATACACACCAGTTTTTGTTTTTGTTTCTGCAGCACTGCGGATTGAGCCTAAGTTTGTACTCTACCATTAAGTTTGTACAACTCAGCCCCATCCACCTATCTACCTATTTATCTATCTTACCCTGACACTTCCTTGACTTTTTATTTTGTATCTGTCTTCTATTTCCTTTGACATACACATTCACATTTCTGTCAGCTGGCAACTCATGGTTTTTAAGTTATCTTCAATCTGTCCTTTATATGTCCCCAGAAAGAAATCTATAAGCTGATTCTAAACTTCAAATGCAAAGAAAAACAATCTACAACAACCAAAACTATTTCTTTTGGAAACTTTTCCTTTTGAAAAAGATACACAACTTAAATATGTATATTATCTGATTTCAGGGCTTCCCATAAATTGCAGTAATCCAGATACTTTGTGCTGACGAAAGA